ATTCAAAGAGGTCTTGCACTGGCTCTGCTCAAAAACAAAGGATTACTGAACGCTTTTATTCATTACAAACCTTTCAGAAATAGCATTTGGAAAAAGAAAAAGCCCAGTCACTTTTTGTTTTGAATTGATCGTGCGCTTGCGTGGGATAGACCACGTACTGGTCCCGCGAATATCCCGCCTTAAGTCGATCCAATCACCAGTGTGTTTGTGAAACTCGTTAAATTGCTCACTATAGTTTAACGAAAGTGAATATTAATTCATATATTTCATCCAATCACTCTTTACCACGAGTACGCTCCTATAGTGTCAACAGACTTTGCCTTGGGTTGCGGTAATATTATTTTGTCTTTGAGAGTAGGATATGTTTATATTCAAACAACCAGTGTTAATATATAAGACAGTGAGTGAAAAGCGCAGAAATGTTTGCTAAGTTACTTTATTGTACTAAATAGTTTGCCTTTTGGGAGCTCGGTGAAAGTATGATTTCTTGTACGTCCTGCAGTATTTGATTTTTTGTCAGTTTCCGTAGTTTGTCCAATTATTATCGAATTCTGAGTTGCTTCGGCTAAAAGGTATGTGGAATTTTCGTTCTGCCCATTCGTTGTCGTTAGCTGGGAGAAATGGTTTAACTTCTACCACATCTTGATTTATGATACAAGAATCATGCACGCTTCCTGGAAACTGCATGTTGTAATTTCAAACGTACCAAGTAACAGAATCCCAGGATCATCGAATTAATTAGTCAAACTACAACTCTTCCGAGAGGAAGTGTTCTTTGACTTTAAGGTCTGAGTTTCTTCATACCAATCGCAGAAGAATTCCATGCAGTGCCTCACATAAATAATGCAATTGAGTGTCATTTTTTTTGGAAAATGACATGCTTAAAAACAAGATCGATTGATCAAGTTTGCACGGGTTAATTGCCATTCTCTACCGTTTGCAGATACGCTTTGTAGATCTATAATCGAAAAATGATGTATTTTAGATAATTAGAAGATTCGACAGGCAAACGTTTTCACAATGCCATTTTCATGAGAAGTACAACCAATAGACAAGATAACTATCAGACCCATTACATTGACCTACTATAAGGATCTCCACACCAACTAACCGGTCACTTTCGTGAGGATAATACTTACATTTAAATTTCGTAGCCCAACTGGTCTTTGAGGATTTAAAGATTCATTTTTCTTTCTTGACATCACGTATCGGATTATAGCACTGATTAGAAAATATTTGAATTTTCATTACATCACCCGTGAGGTCACTAAATCCAAGAACCCGTCAGATCGGTTTTGGTGGATCACGAGCAAGTTACATGGGTTTCTATAGCGTGGCCTTTGTAACTGTCTTTGTGACAATTAATACGGTGGCTTGAGTTCATAAAGTTCATTGGCAATTGACTGATAAAAAAAACACTTCGCATTAACTAAAAGCACTGAAAAATACTAAAGCTATACTAAAATTCAAAATTAATACTTACAATAATGTGCAACGAAGAATATTGCTTGCACATTGTTTTGTTTCTTGCTGGTCCCATTTTCAAGGGAAACTGTTCCGAAAAAAACCCCTCGTTTTATTGCTTATCGTGGTCGACACATACAATACATAAATTTACAAATTCATTTTAATAATAATTCTTTTCATTTTCATTTTAAAAATAATTCATTAAATAATTAATTAAATAATTCAATAAATTCATTTTTAAAATAATTTTCAACATTACATTTTTATAATGAATATTGCATTTTTACTTACCAGGTATATGTTGTTTCTTTTTTATCCACATTATTGTGTTTGTGTGTGTTTTCACGCTTACAGAAAAAATTAGCAGCATTAAGGCTTATATTTTATATTTACAACTCGTGCTTGGATATGCTGTCCTCTGTCGCCTATATATAGACAAAAGGTTGACAGAAAGCTTTCTGAATTTAAATTTTCACGCCGTAACTTCCTGTCACCGCTCTCATTTGGGTTTTTCTCGGAATTTTCCGATTTTTCTGCAGCCAATAAGCAATGTAAGCCGATGGTGTTTCCATGCAATTATGACGTTTGTCGAACAATTTGTATCCCGCTAAAAACCCACTTTTTTTGAAGACATTTAAACTTCTAAACGTTTTCCAACCCCCCCAATTTATTAATAAAGTTAGGAAATATATCCAAGATGTTTTTTTCAGAAATTTGCGTTGTTGCTGCATGTTTCAAGCAAACGTATTAGTGTGTGTAAATGTATTTTGCAGCCCTGCATGGATATAATTAATACTGTTATGACAATACAATGACGCAACTATGCGAATCTGCATGCATAATGAGTCCTGACGAATTTTTATACGCCTTTTTTAAGTAACAGATAAAGCATGAACTTAACGGCAGTGTTGTATCAGATATACAAACAAAGGCGAGAGGTTGTATATGTCTGATACAACACAGAGGCGAATGCTTTATACAGCTTGTGAAACGTCTCGATGAGAATTATTCAACAATTTAAAATAAATGAATGATATTTGGTGAGAAAATTAAAGTTAAAGTTTATGTAAATCAGCATGATTTCTGTATCAGATATACAAACTCCTTCACGCTCATGATTTCTTTTGTGTTTTCTTCATGAATTATTAACGAGTTTCACAATTTTTTTGAAGTGACTACATATATTGCTGGGCTGCCTATACGCTCATATCGCACCTGATTTTACTAGACGATTCCTAGAAAATAGCAAATATATCTACAACATTCTAAGAAATTCCTGTGAAATATAGCAAATATATAACGATTACACATCAAGACCTATTTTCCTGGGAAGTCGGCATGTTCACTTGTTATCCCCGAGCCGACGGCGCGAAGCGCCGTGCGAGGGTACTAATTCCCCCCGGCTATTTACACCCGGGGAAACGAAGCATTAGCGAAGTCTAAAGTTCATCAAATATCGCGGGCGTGGGTCGCCAACCGTGGGTGGTCATCCTCACTGATCTCAAAAATATAGCGGACTGTCATGAATAGCAAACACTGTGATTGGTCCAATTTAAAGTTTGCATTATAACGACTGCATGACGACAGCGAAATAGCAAACATTTCTTTATTTCATGATTGATAAATTTCTTGCAAATATATTTCATTTTTGCTCGCATTTTTGCAAGATTTTGTAAATTTCAAGAAAGAAATGGCGAAAGAATCGGCTAAAAGAAGGGAGCCGACGTTAACGAAGGTAAGTTTGTTTTAAATATTGATTTTATAATTGCTTTAAAGCCCGACGGCCTTTGCGTATATGAAACAACTAAACAAGACAGCATATCATTTCAGTGTATCTTTAATATTGATTCCCTTTTTTATTATATTGAATTTTTTTAAATAAAAAAGAAAGCAAAGTTATTTGAATGCGAGAATTTGAAATCATTTTATTGCAAACTCAAAGTTTATCGATAAAGCCATTTAATTAAAGAATAAAGGCAGACTAGGCAGTTTAGTTTTATAAAGAACACTTTAAAACGTTTTGCGAAGCGTTTGTGGTTGAATTTTACCTTAAATTGAAGCTTATATTACGTATAATATCATACCTAACATATATATGTTGGGAAATTGATAATTTTGTAATTAAAAGTGATATTTTTAAGCGATTTTTCATTTGTAAGAATATTCTTAAGAAATTATCGTGTTACCATGACAACTACTTCAGATACTTCATGTTCGGAAAATACAATGGTTTTGTCAGCAAGGCGAGGGTTTCTGCATGGATGTATTTTCTAGTTTAGTACCTTATAAGAGACGCTCATACGGTTGATGTTACAGACATTATTCACGCGTCCAAAATATTTTAAATATTCTCATTATCTACCAAAAAGGTGTTTTTACGTCAGTCGGGTCTTCGTTCCGTCAATGGAAAATTAAACTCAATTATCGCAGGATGACTATACATTGCATCTTGTTATCATGACAGGGAAAGCCACATTGTTGCTCGAAATACAAGGTTAGCCGTTTGTAAGAAAACGTTTAGAATTGTATTTTTAAATATTAATATGTACAAAATATATTACAATTTCTGTGCACGTATTTACAATTAATATTAATGTCACCTGCTAATTACCACATTCATTTAATTTCTTATACCAGCACAGCGTCCATCATTTGACTTCTATACAAAGAAAATTGCACACGAAATGGCGCGTGAATCGCATGTATACAGATGTAGTGGGTATAGATCAGTCACTTTATTGGTCATTATTGTTTAGATATTGTATGCATACTTCAAAAACTCATTAATAATTCATGAACCAATTATCCAATCTTAAGTAAGAAATTAGTCACGTGCATACGTCTTTATACCAGCTAAAGAACACTTTCACAAAAGACCATTGTTATGCAAACTATATAAAGATTTTTATATAAAGATTTTTATATAAAGATTTTTATATAAAGATTTGCATTATTATGCAAACGTTTTTGAAGCTATTTAAAAAACTCGCAGGTCGTGTTTTATTAGGTCTAAAGCCACTCGCGCTGCGCGCTCGTGGCTTTAAACCTAATAAAACACTCCTGCTCGTTTTTTAAATAGTACTTCGACAAATAAAAACAAATTTTTGTAGGTAAGATGCATATAAAATTTTGTAGCTTTGTGAATTTTGTATTTGATTGCACAGATTTCTAACAGCTATAGTGTATGAATGTGTAAGCTTTGGACGACCAATCGACAGATTTATACTGTTAATTATGTACTATTTAAAACACGAGTAGGAGCGCTGTATCAGTATGGCTTAAAAGACTGAGTTCATTGGCGATTGGGATTTTAAAAATCAACGTTGTCTAAGCCGAGATAATCAAAGCCAACGTTTCTGTAAATCAACAGTGATTTTTATCACATATAAAACCACCGACAGGGTAGTGCAGATATCCTTTATCTTTTCCTCATGAATTATTAATGAGGTTTTTAAATATATACTGTAAACACGCGGATGATTATGTCCTTAGCACGTGGCTGGGGGGAATAAAAATGTTCAGTATGTTAGTGGTTCCTCGCTCGGATATCAAAATAAGATTAATTGTTCAATTTGGGTTCTTCCTCCAAAATAGATGGCATGCCATACCAAAAGTTACTGTTCTATCTCTAAATAAAACATTGTCGGATAATACAAAATGCATGCATGGGGTAAACAATCGGACAGAATTAGAAAAAGCACACATACCATGTTTACCTATATGATAAACTGCTAAAAATTATGTTCAATTTTAATCATTTAGAGTTAAGCTTTGAAAAACAGTTTAAAATGTTTGATAAAAAACTTGTTTCTATAACAACTCCAAAGGGAAGGGAGGAAGAACTTTTTTTGTTAATTTAAGCAGCAGTTTTGTTGTCATATCAACATGTGCTTTAATGACTTACTTTTTTTATATGCATTCCAAATTCGAACGGTTGTATCCCAAGACGACGAAATATACTGTAGTACGAGAAAAATGGACAAAATGTTACATATTATTGAAGGATGCGGCACAACAATAATGCATACAGATAAACCAGAAAAGGCTGTCTTTCAAAAATCTTAAACCTTAAACATTGAGTGCGCATGGTATGATGGGTAACTTCCTATTTAGAGTCTTAAACTCGGAAAATTTGCTTTGAAACAATTCTAGGGCATAAATAATGAACACTTTCGATGTAGGGCTATTTGGTTCACTAAGCTGATGTCCAATATTAAGCTCCAAATAAGCAATACCCATCATACCTTGCACGCTCAATGTTTAAGATTCTTGAAGGATAACCTTTTTTGTGTTGGCTGTACACGAAACCAGACATTTTTGAGGTAACATAATATCAACTATCACAAACCTGTCCCCTCTCAGGTACGTGAATTATGCTTCTCACGGAGTCACTGTGACCAACATTCGTTTGAACAAATTTTCGAGTATCTGGATCATAAACCCTATATGGCGAATAAATCATGATGATTTGGTGCAGAATGATGCTAATAGCCATTCCAATATGCAATACCCAAATTTATCTTTATGATTCTCACTATAATTATTGAATAAAGATATCCATGCACTGAAGGCTTTTTTATAAAGCATAAGATTTTTCAGTTCCAACTCCTACGCTTTTGTTTGAATATTGTCAGGATTGTTCAAGTTTTTAACTATTTTATAAAAGTCGCGGATTCACAATCATAAAAAATTAAAAATATTTTAAAAGCAAGCAAAGCCAAATATAAGCACACTAGCATTCTAGCCTTTAATATATACCTTATTCTGTCTTGTACACCCAGAGCAATGCAGCCATTTGTTTGGTCAATACAAAGTGCTGTAATTGTTCCATGTGTGCTAATGTACTGTTCACACTGGATACCGTCGTCACTCTGAAATTCCAATAATTTAACAGGTATAAATTAACATTAGAAATGCTAAGGAGGTGTGATCGTTGAAATTTAAAAAACCGTCCGATATTAGTCCAATTCAATCAGTACCATGTATTTTGAATAATTATTACCCATATTCGTATACTTCCATCATCTGATCCAGTTACCCACTTAGATAGGACGCCATTCCATTTAACCTATAAATTCAGAACGAAACGATTCTCAGAAAGTAAATAAAAATTTATAAAAATATCTGAAATCGATTTCTGGGTTTTTCGTTGTTTGCAGCTAGGGTATATATAACAATAGACAGACAAGACAAATATGTAATGCAGACGGCAGACTTTTACCACTCATTGCTATAAAATCCTCTTTCGACCGATATACAGTAATTAGCAAAATGTACCGCAGAAGGGGCGGGGGGGGGGGGCAGCTTCGCCAGATAAAGGTTAAAGCGATGCACCATAATAATAATGGTCGCATTTGGTATGAAATATAAATAACGTGGGTCCTTTGGCCCCTCGCCATCTCCACCCACTAACCACACCTAAGTCCCAGTTGCAACCCCTGATTATATCCAAATATATATGAAGTTGAAGTAAAAACAGAGAATACCATGATTATATGAAATAACCAAACAAGTATACCTGCGTTACGTCAGCTTCATGACCTTGAAGGATACCGGTCAATTTCATGTTTGAACATTTATCAGAAAATTGTCGAATGTACACCAGTTTATCAGATGCAGCATACGCAAACTCATCTCTACAAAATACAAATGCTGCATATATGAGTAGGGTATTGTGATGCATATACGCCGTAGGTAGAGAGGACAAACTGTCTGAGTGTAAGAAGCAAAATGAACTATTAAAAACTAAATATAGATTACATCATTTAAAGCATTATACCTTTCCGGGCTATACGTGAGGTCCATAATAATCCCATCTGCAGGAAGTTCTGGATAGGAAGTACTTCCATTTAAGTCTGCTGTGTTGTGGAACACATCATGGAGACTGCGGACAAAATATATTAACAACACATTCAGACATGCATGGTATAACAAAACATAATTATATAACTTATACGTATACAGCTAATTTAAAAAAAGGTTGTCCTTTGCAAACCTTATAAACTCTAAACTTTAAACTCTAAGCTTGCAAAGCATAATGGGAGCATCATTTAATGAGTTTATAAATCATTACGGGACCCATTTCTCGGAGACATGGCAAATATCTCCTTACGAGAAGAATTCATTCACAAATAGCTGCAATAGTCAACTACTAAGCTTGAAACTTGTGCTCTCCTTAAGCTTTGCACGCTTAGAGTTTAAGGATTAGAGAGTTTAAGGTTTGCAAAGGACAACCTTTTTTGAATTAGCTGTATACCCACAGTAATTGTTCTCATGGTAGAAATTTCCTTTGACCTTTGTCACGCAAAGGAAATTTCTTTCCTCATGTGTCTTAATATTTCCTTACGCCTTAAAATTTCTTTCCTTGTATGCCTTTCCTTATGTCTTGATATGTCTTTCTTTGGAGAAAACATGGATTAAAAAGTAATATATGTACTTCACAATCTAGTGGTAATTATTATTTTGACTCTTAACATAAGACATGTGAAATTGGAATAAGAATTAAATATAAAAAATGCGTCGCCGTCGTTTTCTTTACAAAGATATGGTGTTATTATACGAAATACAATTAATTAAATAACCGGACCTACTCGCACAGGAACCACAAGATGTACAATTGTCAGTGTTTTTATCAGAAAATGAACTTCAACATGCTTAACCGTGTAAATGTAACCATGCACGAATGTTGAGACGAAACATAAAATTATTAATAATTATTAATTATTAATTATTATTTTAGTGATGTAATAACAATTGTTGTGAAAAGTGTAGTTCACCTCTTGTTGATGTAAGAGTAAGTTGCTTGTTAAAAATACTTACCACAATTTTTCTAAATCCCAAATCAAAATTTTTCTATCCCAACCAGCACTAATCTATAAGAGATAAGTACCCGAACATTGAATACAATTAATAATAATAATTTGTTGGTCACAGAATTAATAATAATAATAATAATAATACTAATAATAATACTACTAATAATAATACTACTACATTACTACTACTAATAATAATACTTCTAATAATAATACTAATAATAATAATACTAATAATAATAATACTACTAATAATAATAATACTACTTATTATATACATGACAAAATTACTGCAATCTGATTGGTTAAGAGGAGTGCAATTATTTCATTAATTGCACTCTCCAGGAGTGCAATTAATGATTTTCGTGATGGCTGGGGGGAGCGGGAAATCAAAACAACAAAATCCAATATGGCGGCAAATTTTAGATAAGTATTTCTAACAAATGTGGACGAACTTAACTGAATTTTGGCACAAGAATGAGTTTAAGAAACATTGTATGGCAAAAAGAGCCTGTGGAAAATACCAGGAAACAGTCTAAAGAAATAATCTTGGCGGGATGCAGCGAAACATGACTATGTAAGTTTGAAATACAATTTATAAAGATTTTCTTAGTCTAAAATATGTTGTTTGAGTTTGAATCTTGTGTTCTAGTTTAAGTTATGTGTCTTTATAAGTTTATAATCATTTCCCAAGTTTGTTTATACCAAATTGTTTACAAAAGAATTAAAAACTCTTGACAAAATGCAGTTGATATATAAAGAAAGCGATTTTGTCATGCATATAATAAATAAATAATCACACGGGCAAGTCGTGCAATTAATGATTAACACTACTCGTGATATTTGAAAAATGTGCCAAATTGCACTCGCCTCGGCGGCGCAAATTTTTTTTCCGTGGACAGTCGGACTCCTCATTGATAGTCGGACGCATCATTGACCCGCGCCCTTAGACAAAACATTCAGCGGATACTCTTATTATAGATGCGCCTTCCCAGTCTTGCGCACGCAATTGGTGATTTCAAAATATTGTATTGCTTGGTTGAGATGTCAAGATCTTCATATCTTGTGTGGCGATGACATTATATTCGCCATTCCCACTTGCTTTTCTTTGCTTTTGTAACTGTTTTTTGTAACTATTTTTAAGCCATGCCTTTCAAACACCATGGATAGGATGTATCAATACATCTATATTTAGTCTCAATAGATTAATACATAGATTGATAGATTAAAATCCCATGGTGGTAAAGGTAGCTAGGAAGCATACAGTGATTTTGTCATAGTGTTAAAGGCAGCTCTCTAAATTGTCATAGTGTTAAAGGCAGCTCTGTATTCTAGTGGATACGCAGATACGCAGTCAAATAGTTATTTTGAGAATGAGGCATACAGTTAGATTAGCATTAGATCAAATTCTCATGCTATAGGTAGCTCTATATTTTAGTGGATACGCGGATACGTGGATACGCAGTCAAGTAGCTATTTTGAGATTAAGACGACAGTTAGTTGGCATTAATAGATTAAATTCTCATGCTATACAGAGCTTAAATCATAAATGTTGTGTAATATGTAAATATGTTCCTCACAACCGGACATTGGTGTTTGACAGATTATGATTAATTAGCGTTGCTGGGAGAAAAAATTTTATATTATAAAGCATACTAAGCATAATATTAAACATTAAAAGTCTTGAATGATATTTCCTTTATAGTATCAATTCGTAATATTGTCTTGGTAATTAGTTTGTGGAAATTAGAACGAGGCAATAATATCTGGTATATACGTATCCAGTGAAATAGTGGCCGGGCTACATGATATGATATTACTGGTGGACGGGTATTCTGCAATACTTCTATTTGTTTTTAACTCGCAATAACAGTTCTTGAGTATTTTCGGAACGAGAAAAACAAGTTTGTAGATTTACAATGATATCGCGAAACATATCGTTCATCTTTCTGACGTGGTCGAAGAACAACGTGGAATGATGGATATATGGTGCACCAGTGGGTTACACAGGGTACGAAGGGATCCATCAATAACGCGCAGAGGCCTGGACGACTATCAATGAGGAGTCCGACTGTCTACGGAAAAAAATTTGCCTAGGCGGCTTGTGCAATTTTGGCACATTTTTCAAATATCACTCGTAGTGTTAATAATTAATTGCACTCCTTCCCGTGTGATTACCTATACTAATAATAATAATACTACTACTAATACTACTACTACTACTAATAATAATACTACTACTACTAATAATACTACTACTACTACTACTACTACTAATAATACTACTAATAATAATACTAATAATAATAATACTAATAATAATACTACTAATAATAATACTAATAATAATACTACTAATAATAATAATACTACTAATAATACTACCACTACCACTAATAATAAATAAAAATAATAATAATAATAGAGAGAGACGGTGGATAAATACCAGGAATTAGAGAAAGAGAATTAGAAAAAGCGGGAAGGTGGATGAATTACCAGAAATTAAAACAGAGAGAAGGTGGATATAAATATATGCAGGGCTGGAATTGAAATGGGAATTAAGAAGGATCTGAATGGGATTATACTGAAGTGGTAGTGATCTCTAACTATAGCGACCTTATAAAAACAGTCTCAAAAAATTCAACCATCGCCTATGCAAAATATGTTCAAACTCTAAATATGGAACCATACAGAATCTTGATCTTCTAGGAACAGCTACAATACTAAGATATGCACTGAACACCCAAGGTTGCAGATCGCAACTTGGTATTCGGTAGAACTGAAACAGTTGTTTTACATCACCTAAGCTGAGATAAAGAGCTAGAATTGTAATAATAATATGCATAGGGAGTGAATCCAATCTTTGGCTCCCACATATCGGAACATATGTAGACTGTCCCAGAATACAGTATAAATCATGTACTCGTTAATAAAATGATCAGTTATTTATTTTTATTATTTAATATACGAAAGTGTGCTTAAATAAATTATCAACATTGCAAGACTATGTATAGCGGCCCATTTTGAACAGTTCACCTTATTTTGAACAATTGACCAACTCAGTGTGGATAAAATAAGGTGGATTTTATTATATAACAATGGAATAACGATTATCACAAATAGAATCTTACCAAAAATGTAGTATCATATCTTTTTCGATGATCCTTCTCCACAGCTACTATACCAGTGATGCAGTTGCTATGCTCGCTAAAAACACTTTTACATATGAAACCGGCAACTCGGTTAGTCACAGAATCAATAGCACCTTTTGATACCTTATAGAAGAACAATTTCAAATGTTAGGAGATGTGGGGCGTTGGTCAGTGCTTTTCTGCTAATTAGAGAATATTACAGATCATTTATAGAAATTAGATAATTTACAATCATTGTTATTCAAATCATCACTTTAAATTAATGTATATGGCATATTACTAAATATTATATAAAAAGTTTATTATATGGCATTTATAGGCATTTATACACGAAACAACAAGAAATGCATGATTTGAAATGCATATTAGTAGCGTGGTGCACATTTGGTCGAAGAAAACAAAATAACAATGTATTCCTTCCTGTCCACTTAAAACCGCCGGTCCATTACGGGAAAATAATGGACCGCTGAAAGTGCTTCTCAGCCAATCATAGTCGGCCATTTCACCGGAAGTGATGCTTGCCATATAATAATAACAAGTAATAGTATGGTTTCTCGTGCAATTTGAAAAAACATACACTCGTGAGTTACAGTTCAAAGACTTCAAATTGAGCTCGTCCTTCGGACTCGTGTAATTTTGATAGTCTTTGAAAAACTCATTCGTTCATGTTTTTTCCAAATTGCACTCGAAACTATGCATACTATTAGTATTACCTACACAAATTACACTGGAAAATTTTTTTGCAAAATCTATAATCTGGAATTTGCAATCGAATCACTAAATCCATACTATATCCATATTATTTCCATATCATGTCCAAAGTATGGAAATTGCAATTAGTATGAAAGTTGGATTTCCATACTATTTCCAACGAAGAAACCTTCTTTTCATTACAAAAATTCTGAAATGGCGGCAGAAATATTAATATGACATCAGTATACTCACATCCGTTTCTGCTTCCGGCATATATCCACCGTTCTCCAGTAAGATGGCATATCTATGATTTAAAAATTCATCAACAGGTTTCATTTTTTGTAATACGTCGACAGCATTCTTGTCAAAACCCCAAACATCTGCAGAAAGAATAAGTAATGTTAGCTGTGACCGAACTATGGGTCGAAGGGAAAACACAAGCAATAAAAGGGAACCACTCAGTATTTTAAGAAAATACAAAATAACAGGAACTCCGACTAACATTTTGATTTTTAATCGACGTTTCGACTAGTTTGTAGTCATCCTCAAGATTAATAATATTGCAAAATTACAGATACAGCTATTATAAAGCCAAGAAAGGCGGAGCTTAACGCCAATGACATATGAGAAGTTTTTTGCTGTATAATAGCTGCATCTGTAATTTTACACTATTATTAATCCTGAGGATGACTAAAAAACTATAGTCGAAATGTCAATTAAAGGGATACGGCAATATATTTTTTTATTATTTCACTTTAAAGAACTTTTAAAATTATATGTTAATCTCCTTTACCGATTTTGCGTAACTTTATTATTTCTTGAAATATTTTGACTTAAAATAATTTGCTGTCCGCCATCTTGGATTATTTTTTATCTCATTATCGGTGATTTTAGTGACGTCATAAGCAGGGTGAGCCATATAAAACTGCATCTAAATGACCAAATAACATTAAGTCTTGTTTGAAAAGTCGTCAGACAGTTTTTTATTTCAAATAGTTACTGAAGTATATGATTTTGGGCTCATAATAACCAATTGCTCTATGGATAAAATTCTTGCGTTGACCCTGCTTATGATGTCACATGCATATCCGCCAAAATCCAAGATGGCGGAAAGCTCGCTGATTTGTGATTTTTTCTGTTCAAATATCTCAAGAAATAATAAATTTACCAAAATCGGTAAAAGAGATTAACATATAATTTTTAAAGTTCTTCCAAATGAAATAATAAAAAAATATATTGCCGTATCCCTTTAAAAATCAAAATGTTATTCTGAGTTACTGTTATTTTGTATTTTCTTAAAAGGAATAAGTTTTGATTCATGTCAAAAACGAAACGTCAGCCTCGATATATAAAGTTTAATTTATTAACTTGGCGCTGAGCCTCGTTATTAAAACATTTTCCTCGGCCACTCGACTATAACTGTTCGGATTATTAGGCAATTCATGCAAGGCAAGATACGAAAATGAAATGACATGCATGCAAGGCGATGTATAACAACATATATGTATAACATATGTATAACAACAATAACAACGTTTTACAATATACAGCAGCGGTATATGCAGGAGAACTATGTCTGAAAAATAAAAACAGAACTTCGACGTTTCGAGCGCAGGCACTTCGTCGGGAAGCTATTAGCGTACATCGGGAAAAGCAAATGTGCTTTTATACTAATGAATATAAAAGCGATCGCGTGACAAAAATAAACCAATCAGAAAATAAAGTGTAAACAAAAAATGTAAATCACATTACAGAATATATTGATGTGGAATGGAAGTTAGGGGATAAAAACACATGCATGCAATTACAACAAATATACGAAACAAGTATGGGTAAGAATTAAATTTACTGTCAATGTCTGGTTTTGTTAGGCAGAGACAGATCGATAGAGTTAAAGAAAAGAAAAGGTTCTTTAATACGAATTAGTGGTTAGACAATGCGAAGTTTGGAAATGAGACGCGTTTCATGTTTTGAAATGAGTGACGCCACTTTTACAGTACGTTTGACAAGATATTTGACTTCCACTTGTCAAACCACCATTGCTAACACCATTCACAACCTTATCGCAACTGGCGCATGACCTTCCCCAAAACTGCCAAGAACCACTACACTTGGCACACCTGTCATGTACTTCTTGTACTTCTAAGTAGACCCTGTCTTTTCCTGTAGTTGTCTCACCGAGTTCATCAGAACGTCGATGTTGTCTTTGTATATTTTAAAGGCAGTGCAATGCAAATTCCCAGGCTAAATTGTAGGCTTTCTCGAAGCTGCACATATTCTACAGGCAATAGCACAATCATGCAGTGAGCCTCTCTATATATCGCGATCAACAACTTCAGTCATTTGGCCTATACGAAAAGTAAAGTCAAGATGGCGGAATGGACGCCCAATAGCTATGAAGGACTGTAAACAGTTTTAATACCATTTCCATCAGTTTATAAAACCATAGCATTATTCTTTAAATCGAAGTAAAACATTAAAAACATCATTCAAAAGGCTAAACTGTGATTTGAAAAAACTGCACTTACAAATATTATTGTCCTCTGATGCAAAAACCAGCAAGTCCAAACTTTCAACGAATAAAGAATTCAAGATGGTCACATCCCTAGTGAAGTCCGAGTTTGAATAACTCTGAAAATAATAAAATAAAGTAATAAAAACAAGTCATTATGAAAAAAATCACTATGATAAACTATGTTTTGCATGATTCAGCACTAATTGATCCCAAGGTGGTCATGTGGAAGTACTATACAGGGTGTATCAAAAAAATGTACACCCTTTCATAAATGTTCACCCTTCCATAACCTTTTAAATATTCGTTGCTCTGCAGTAAGCTGGCCCATTTTATATCTTGTGCAGACTTGAATAATGCTTTTAAGCAAATATTTAAAAATTATAAATTATTATTAATTATAATTATTTTATTTAAAAATTTAAACATTTTTCTTTGAGTTGTGTGTTTGTTCATACAAATAGAAGTTATCCTAAATTCCCATGTGGAGAAGACCTTGTATCTTCACGCATTCATTAATTTGAGAAATTATAAGGCTGTCAAATTACTACAATAGATTATATAGTTAATTTGAATTTGAAAGGGTGCACATTTGTTTTGTTACACCCTGTATATAACTTAGACAATTAAAACGTACTTTCAAATCCCATTATCCCAGGAGCATAATAGGTTGCACAGGCATTGAAATTGGCATTAGCACTGGCTTTTATGCGAATTATAGGGTTGCAGTTTCTTTATACACCCGGTACAGTAGCCAGAGTGAAAGCAGATTGTTACAAAAAAATCTTCATATTGAGATCTTTAAATTATTATTTACGTGACAAAATTACTGAATTCTGAATGATTTAGAGGAGTACAATTATTTCAATACTCCGGAATACCCCAATACAATTAAAAAATCAGGAGTGGGGTTTGGGGACAAATGTGAAAAAAATATTCAAATTCAGTAGGGGAATATAATAATTATAGCCTTTTCTACTCACAATTTCAAGAGCTTCATCAAATAATAGCCCAAAACAAATATTTGCAACTAAACGTAGTGAGTATCTAGAATTAATGCTTTTAAGTAAGAGAACAGTACAATCCGTTCTGAAAGGCATGGATGAGTAAAATTCGTGATTTTGCCATGCAAATAATAAATAAACAAGTATTCATGTGACGTCGTACAATTAGGATCAACAATGCTGGCGATGTTTGAAAATTTTTGGCTTGCGGAAATTGCTTACGCCCCCGCTGCACGTGGGAAGTTTGGTACACTTTTCAAAACATCAATCATAATATAATAATACACTCTTCAAATAATACTAGCAATTTTTACAGTATATAATATTTTGAAAAGGTGGACCTTGAGATTATCCCTATATTCAGCATCCCAAATTAAAATAATTCTAAGATTTCTCACTATAAAAATTATAAAACTAGTATATTATAATTACTGCATATACTAAATAAAATTCGTCTTAAGAAATCTTCATGTTGCTTTGGACATGTTTAAATTGGATCCATTAGCACAATTGTAACGAAGAAATAGTACTTTACTTAAGTCGATCCTAGCAGTTTGTACGGCTGCATGATTAGTTTTGGTTTTCTTACTCTTACAAAATTCAAAGTAGTCCAATAACATACGGTCAGTGAGAAAAATTCTCTTCTTCTTTCTAAAGAGCTCCAGTTTAAAATTTTGCATCTTTCTTCATTTGTATCGCCAATCCTTAATTGTACTCGCCAGGACATAATTACCTATACTAGTTTTAATGCACTAGCCAAAGTACAATCCAAGAAATATATCCAAACCTTTTTGTACGGTCTAATACAATCGGGAGAAGCGGAATACAACTCTTTTGCTCTCTTCCTATCACTTCTTCCTCCAATTTTCTCGTACTTTTCAGCAAACTGGTATGCCAAGCGAGCAAGTCCCTCGCTCCTTGGAAACATTTCTTTACTAAAAGGTCCGGCGTGGGCGAAAAGATGAAAATTTTTTCAAGGTCCGGTGTGGCCGAAAAAATGAAAATTTTTTCAAGGTCCGGGGTGGGCGAAAAAATGAAAATTTTTTCAAGGTCCGGGGTGGGCGAAAAAATGAAAATTTTTTCAAGGTCCGGGGTGGGCGAAAAAATGAAAATTTTTTCAAGGTCCGGGGTGGGCGAAAAAATGAAAATTTTTTCAAGGTCCGGTGTGGCCGAAAAAATGAAAATTTTTTCAAGGTCCGGGGTGGGCGAAAAAATGAAAATTTTTTCAAGGTCCGGTGTG